GTAGAGAATCAGAAGTTAGGTAAGGTAGCTGTGTTGAATTTTTAGGGGCTAATGAGTGATGCTGTATTTGACCTCTCAAGTTTATAATGCATTTAAAATTTCTAAATTAGGTTAATAGGTATTAGTTTGTATATATTTGTCATTATTCTGATGAATTTAATGCTGGTTAATATGGCTTACTGTAAATATTTAGTAAGTTTTTCAATTTGAAATCCGCCCTCCTACTAGTCAAAGGCAGATTAAAACTATCAAAAAGGGGAAAAAGGGGGGGGGGGAGGGAGAAGGGCCAGGAGGTAATCAAAAATCATGTTCCGAGCAAGCAAGATCTCATTAGGAAAACTGATAAAGCTCCAAATTACCACTTATTTCCTTCAAATACAAAAGTGTACCAGAATAATTCACCTGGTGTAATTGGAAGTGGTTATTGTCTGAAAACAATATCCATGAGAGGCTGAGTATAGTGGATCACACCTGTAATCCCAACACTTTTGGAGGCCATGGTGGGTGGATCAGGAGGTCAGGAGTTCAAGACCAGCCTGTCCAACTTGGCGAAACCTAGTGTCTACTAAAAACTACAAAAATTAGCCAGGCACAGTGGCGGGCACCTGTAATCCCAGGTATTTGGGAGGCTGAGGCAGGAGAATCACTTGAACCCAAGCGGCAGAGGTTGCAGTGAGCCAAGATCATGCCACTGCACTCTAGCCTAAGTGACAGAGACGCCATCTGAAAACAAACAAACAAACAAAAAACAATATACATGGTAATGGAGGGTCTGAAATAAGCTTATGAAGAATGCTTGGATCTTAGATGGCCTTCATAGCTATAGACAAGAAATACCTTTTCCTACTATCTGTGAGAATAATTCTTAAATGTTTTCAACAACATGGAACTCTCCAAGAACAACAAACTTACAGATCTGTTTATTTGACGTCTTCAACAGAACATCTAATAGTCATGTCAAATTAATTGTCAGAATCAACCTTTTAATTTTTTTATGGAAGTATAATTTACATACAATAAGATGCATAGCTTTTTAAGGGTACAGTTTAATGAGTTTTAATAAATGTGTGTGTATATATATGACCAACACGCTGGTCAAGATTTAGATTATTTTTATCACATGACATCTTCCAGGTAAGCACTCTTCTGATTTCTATCATTTGTTCAGATTATTTTAATCTGTTCTACAGCTTCATATTAATGAAATAATACAGCATGCACTGTTTTGTATGTCTTCTTTAACACAACATTTTTTAAAGATTTTTCTCATGTTACTGAATGCAACGGTAGTTTGTGTCTATTTGCTGCAGGTTAGTATTCCATTCGTTGCATAAATAAAATTATTTTCATCTATTCACCTGGAAATAGGCACTTAGGTTTTTTATTCTCACTGCATATTTTGAATGAGTTTCTAGAAACATTCTTGTAAAAAAATGCAAATAAAGTTTTTCACTTTTGTTTGGTAAATAACAAGTGAATTGACTGAGTCATATGATAAATAACTTAAATATAGAAGATATTTTCAAAATACTTTCCAAGATAGTTGTATCAATTTTAATTCCTACCAGAAACACTAGTGACAGCTTCAGTTGATCCACATCATTGCCAACACTTAATACCAGTATTAGCTAATTGTAGCCATTCTGAAGTACTAGCACTGCATGCTGATTTAAATTGTATTTCCTTGCTGTCTAATGATGTTGAGCATCATTCCAGGTGCTATTTTGTATCTTTATTTTCGTTTGTATGAACATGTGAAGACCTGTACAGGTCTTTTGTTAATTTTATACTGGACGATTTTGATTTGGTTACATTGTAGATGTAAACAACAGGTATATCCAATGTTTTTCTCCTCTAGTATATTGTTTTAAAATGTTATTAGCCGGGCACGGTGGCTCACGCCTGTAATACCAGCACTTTGGGAGGCCGAGGCGGGTGGATCACGAGGTCAAGAGATCGAGACCATCCTGGTCAACATGGTGAAACCCCGTCTCTACTGAAAATACAAAAAATTAGCTGGGCATGGTGGCGCGTGCCTGTAATCCCAGCTACTCAGGAGGCTGAGGCAGGAGAATTGCCTGAACCCAGGAGGCGGAGGTTGCGGTGAGCCGAGATGGCACCATTGCACTCCAGCCTGGGTAACAAGAGCAAAACTCCGTCTCAAAATAAATAAATAAATAAATAATAAAATAAAATGTTATTAAGTGAGCAGAATTTTTTTGAAGAAAATTAGCCACTTTTCATTAGTAATTATTATGTCCTCCCTAAGAAATGTTTGCAAACCCAAGTAGCCTCCAGTAGATATTTTAAGGCTTTATAAATTTAGGCTTTTTATTTTTAGTTCTTTTTTCCTATAACAAATAATATGTGTGGCGTATAAGTTAGAATAATTATTTAAAGAGTAGTTATCAAAGCGTCCCTGCATTATTTATTGAAAAGACTTTCTTTTCCTCTTTCAATTGCTGTGATATTTTTGTTAGAAGTTAATTCTCTGTATTAACGGCACTTATTTGCCAGCACTCCATTCTATTGACTTAGCTCTCTTTTTTCCCAATTTTTTTTGTTTAAATAATTTTCCTACGTCTTTTGAAATTTATATATATAATTTTAAAATATGAATTTTACAGAAATATATAGAATTTTTATTCAGATGATGTTAAATATAAAGATAAATTTGGAGAAATGTCATATATTAAAATACTGAGTTTTGAAACAAAGTCACAGAAAACATCATACTGAATGGGGAAAAGTTGAAAGCAGCCCCACTATGAACTAGAACAAGACAATGATGTTTACTGTCACCAGCACTATTCAACATAGTACTGAACATGCTAGCCAGAGTAATCAGGCAGAGAAATAAGCAAAAGGCATCTAAATTGGAAAAAAGAAAGTCAAATTATTTATGTTAACAAATTACATAATCTTATACTTAGAAAACCCTGAAGACTCTTCCAAAAGACTTCTGGACTTGATAAACGATTTCAATATAGTTTTAGGATAGAAAATTAATGAACAAAAATTAGTTGTATGCCTATACACTGACATACTCAAGCTGAGAACCAAATTAAAAACTCAATCACATTTACAACACACACAAACACACATACACACACACACACACACACACACACACACACACACACACCTCTAGGAATGCATTTAACCAAGGAAGTGAAATACTTCTACAAGAGAATTACAAAACACAGATTAAATAAATCACAGATGGCACAAACAAATGGAAAAAACATTTCATGCTTATGGAATAGAAAAATCAATATGATTGGAATGACCATACTGCTCAATCTACAGTTTCAATGCAATTTCTATCTAATTATCATTTTTTACAAAATTACAAAAAAAACAAGCCTATGAAACAAACAAAAAAAGAGCCCAAAGAGCGAAAGCAATCCTAAGCAGAAATAACTGAGTTGGAATCATCATATTACCTGACTTCAAAATATACTACACAGCTACAGTAACCAAAACAGCATGGTACTGGTGCAAAAATAGAAACAGATCAACCAAACAGAATAGAAATCCTAGAAAAAAAAAAAACTTAAATTTAGATCTTAAAGTTGATCCACTGATCTTAAAGCTGAAAAAAAGAAACAATGAGAAAAGGATACCCTATTAAATAAATGGCACTGGGAATTTTGGCTATCCATATGCATAAATAAAATAATGAAAACGGACCCCTATCTCTTACGATATACAAATATTAACTCAAGATGAAGTAAAGACTTAAATATAAGACCTGAAACTATAAAAATCCCTGAAGAAACCCTAAGAAAAGCTCTTCTGGATATTGGCCTAAGCAAGGAATTAATGACTATGACCTCAAAAGCAAATGCACCAAAACCAAAAATAGACAAATGGGAATTAAATGAAAGAGCTTCTACACAGAAAATCAAATCAAATAAAAAATAAACAAAGTAAACAAACATCCCACAGAATGGGAGAATATATTTGCAGACTCTGCATCTGATAGAGGACTAATAGCAAGAACCTGTAACAGAACTCAAATTAACAAGAAAAAAACACAACCCCATTACAAAGTGAGCAAAATACATGAATAGACATTTTTCAAAAGAAGACACTGTATGTCTTCCTTTTGGAAGTTCCATCCATGTTGTCATGGAATCAAAAATGATCTGGCTGATTGGAATCAACCAAGTCATGGAATCAACCAAGTCATGGAATCAACCTAAGTGCCTATTATTGGTGGAATGGATAAAGAAAATTTGACATATATACACCATGCAGTCATTAAAAAAGAATGTAATCATGTGGGAAGCAACATGGATGAAGCTTCCAACAAATATATTTTTAAAATGCTCATCATCACTAATCGTCAGAGAAATGCAAATCAAAATGCAAATTAGATGAAGATGTCTATTATCTTCTGGTATCAACATGATACCACCTCATTCCAGTCAGAATGGCTATTATGGAAAAGCTGAAAAATAACAGATGTTGGCAAGGCCACGGAGAAAAAAAAATGATTATACACTGTCAGTGGGAATACAAAATTTTTTAGCCACGGTGGGAAGCAGTTTGGAAATTTCTCGAAGAACTAGAAACAGAACTACCATTTGACCCAGCAATACCACTTCTCACAATCTACCCAAAGGAAAATAAACTGTTATGTAACAAAGATACCTGCACTTGTATTTTTATTTCACTGCTATTCACCATAATACAATAATGGGATCAACCTAAGTGTCCATAATTGGTGCACTGGATAAAGAAAATGTGATATATTATGCACCATGGAATACTACCCAGTCATTAAAAAAGAATGAAATCATGTCCTTTTAAACAACATGGGTGGAAGCAGAGGTTATCATCCTAAGTGAAATAGCTCAGAACCAGAAAATCAAATACCACAGCTCACTGATAAGTGGGAACTAAATAATGGGTACGCATAGATATATGAAAGGAAATAACAGACACTGGGGATTCCAAAAAGGGAGAGGGGGAGGGGAATAAGGGTCTAAAACTTACCTCCGGCTCCTGGAGCAAGAGGTCAGCACCAGCTTCTGAGCCCCGGGCTGTATCAGCCACTGGGCCAGCCCCAGGCCAAAGCCACCCCAGGCACAAGCGATGACTTAGCTTTTGTGGGACAGGCGTCAGCGTGGGTTTGGCCCCCTTCAGCACAGCCTCCGGCTGCTCTGCATGCACCTGCACGAGGACTTCGCCAATGAGCTTCCCCTAGGCCATGTAGCTGAAGGCGTCCTCCACCTGGGCCCTGGGGAACACGGTGCACCTGAGGGGCTGCACTATGCCATCGCAGATGCCAGCCTGCAGAAGCGCCAACACCTCCCACCAGGCGGCACTGGCTTCGCCAAAGAGCGAGTCCAGAAGGATCCCGTGGAAGGTCACGTTCTTCAAGAAGATGGCCATGCCAAGCGGGTGGTTGTTAGCAAGGTCGAATTTGCCAATTTACAGCAAGCGGCCGTGCTGAGCCAAGCACCTCACGCGGGCCTGCAGCTTCTCTTCCACCAAGGAGTTCAGGGCCAGGTCAACGCCCTTCCCGCCAGTGTGCTGCGGCACATGCTTCTCGAACGACGTGTCCCTCGAGTTGGCAAAGCTGGTGCTGTCCAGCTGGGAGAACCTGGCCTGGAGGTACGCCCGCTTCTCGGCCGACCCCACGGCGGTGAAGACGCGGCAGCCCAGACTGAGGGCGATGGCGATGGCGGCCTGGCCCACGCCTCCAGAACCAGAGTGGATAAGCGTCTCCCCGCGCTGCACCCGCCCACAGACCACCAGTGCGTAGTAAGCTGTGGTGCAGACGACAGGCACCAAGGCCGCCTCCTCCAGGATCCAGTGCGAGGGCACGTCCCAGAGGAAGTCCGGCGACAGCAGGACAGAGGTGGCCAGGCCCTCGGTGGGCACCAGCCCGGTCACACGCTTGCTGCTCGCGTCCCGGCCCGCGAACTCCATACCCAGCAAGCAGTCCTTGGTGGCCCAGTTCCCTGGGATGGCGTCAGGAGGCAGCTTGCCAGTGGCCAGCATGATGTCATGGAAGTTGAGGAAGGCGAAGTAGGCCGTGCAGAGCTGGGCGCCAGGGCTGGCTGGGCATGGCGCAGCGAGGAGCAGACCCAGCGATGGAGGACAGGTCCCCCCGGGTGAGGACCACCACGTAGGCGTGTGCCGTCAGCTCCTCGGGCTTGTCCTGCTCCAGCGGGAAGTGGCGGAAGACGTTCATCACCAGTTCTCCCTGCAGCACCTTCTGCAGTTCTGCGGAGCCCGGGTCCGCGACGCGGGCGGTGCTGCTGAGGTTGGAGAGCAGCAGGCACCGACTGCGGTGCCCGCCGAGCTCTTGGCGGAGACAGTTCCCCAAGCCCACCACGCCGGAGGCGGTGCAGTTGACGGCCTCCTGTCACACGGGCCCGGAGGAGGAGCCGGCCGGGAAGCCCTTCAGAGAGTCCACCCAGCGGAAGCTGGTGTGCTCCACCGGAAGGAAGACGGGGCTGTCCTGCGGGGCGGCCGCACCGGAAAAGTACGGAGCGGTAGAAGGACTTCTTCAGGCCCACCAGGCGCGGCGGCATTTGGAGAAGAGGCTCTCTCACGCGTCCTGGCTCAGGATGCCCCGGCGTACTGCGGCTCAGCGGAGGTGAGGAAGGTCACGATCTCCCCAAGGGGGTGCCCCCGAGCAGCGTGTGCAGCCGCAGAAAGCCCCCTTCTCTCAGGGCAGCCATCATGTTGCCGAGGGCTGAGGCCGGGTCCCCGAGGGCCGCCACTGTACAGTTGCACACCAGGAGGTCAGTGCTACCCAGGGCGCTGGGGGCAGGGTCCGCGGGGTCCCACTGGCCCTGGGCAATGTCGTGCGGCTGCAGCTTGGCCTGGGCAGCCTCCAGGGCCTGAGGGTGGCGGTCGGTGGCCCTGTAGCTCAGCTGCAGTGTGTTGAGCGGACCTGGGATGCGGGAATACAGATGACCATGGCCAGCCAGCGCCTCCACCACCTTCATCTTCAGGCTGGGCATGTTCTCCAGGGCAGTGTCCACGCAGGCCTTGAGCGGTGGGGAGTCCAGGAGGCAGCTGGGCAGAGGGTCCTCTGGCAGCTCAGACCTCTCCTCAGCCAGCACCTGTACCAGCTCCAGCTGTAGGTTCCTGTTGAGCTGAAGCCCGCGGGCAGCGGACAGCAGCTGGGGCAGTGCCTGCTGCGGGGAATCCTGGGGGACCTGGGCCCAGTCCAGTCTGGGCACCGCCATCTTCAGCCCCTTCTAGGTCACCTTAGTCTGCAGCGCCTGCACCAGTGTCTTGCACAGCTGCAGCTCCTCCTTCAGAGTAGCGTGCCCAGACAGGCACCTGTCCTCTATGTGGGGCGTGAAACAAAACTTCTCCAGGACGGGTGCTCGATGCTCCTGCTGCCGCTGTGGGACCGCCGAGGCGTGGAGCCTGGAGAGGTGGACGCCTCCGGCCGCTGTGGTCTTCAGACGCCTGCTCACCACCACATCAACCACTTGAGCCTCGTCCTGCTGTGTGTACAGCTTCTGCCTGTGGGAGGCAGGGTCGATGTGGATGGCAGTGATGCGGGTGGGCAGGAACAGGCTGCACTGGCCCGTGCCCAGGATTGACATCTGCAGCATGGTGTCCAGGAAGGGCACCCAGTTATCCTTCCACAGCAGCTTGCCCTAGTTGCCTTCCAGGCTGGCCTCTAGGATGCCCTGGAACTGAGTGCCGTAGTCGTAGCCATGCAAACACAGTTCCCTGTGCACTTCAGCCTAGGCCAGGAAGAATGGCTCCCTGGGGCTGGTGGCAGGGCTTTCCTGGTGGTCAGAGAGCCTGGGGCCAGGGTCCTCCCATTGATACACCTTCCCACTCATTACCAGGTGGAAGTGCTCTGACACTTCGAAGGTATGGGAGGCTTCCAGGAGCTGTACCTCGAGGGACACAGTCCCGGTCATGGGCAGGATGGTGGCCTGGTGCACCATCACGTCCTCAAACACCGCAGGCAGCTGCTCCATGGCCAGATTCACGACACGGGCCAGCGTCTTCCACGCGAGGCACAGATAGCCAGCGGCAGGGAAGATGATATGGCCACCAATGCAGTGGTCCACCAGTTAGTGGTCAGGAGACTCTGGGCTGGCGTCGTTGTTGTAGACCGCGGCCGATGGGGAACTGGAACCATTGGGGAAGTCCTCGGCGGCCAGCACGTCCCAGGCCAGGCTGTGGTCCCATTTGATGAGCGGGGAGATGAGGGGCATTCCTAGGGGAACCAGGAATTCCACAAGTGGGAGCAAGGCATTGGGGTTGGCGTCAATGCCTGAGAGGTGCAGCCTGCCAGTGCCGGCGAGGAACAGCTCCAGGTTGTCCCTGTGGTCCTTCTTCATCAGGGGAACAATGGTGCAGCCTGCAGCAGGGCGTGGGGCACGATCTCCAGCACCACCGTGTGCTAAGGCACGAGCCATAGGACCTCCTGGAACAGCACGGGGCTCACCAGGTTGCTGACGTTGTACTCGGGGGAGCACATGCGTGCCAGGCTGGTGTGCCACCAGGCCTCGGGGATAGAGGTGCTGAGCCAGCAGGCTGAGCGCTGCTTCAGCTCCCGGATCACCTTCTTGAGTGCCTGCAGCAGTCAGTGTGCGGTGCCCTCCATGAAGTAGGAGTGGAAGGACATGCCACCCGTCCGCATCTCCTTGGCAAACACGCCCGCCTGCTTCAGCTCTTCCACGAACTCGTACACAGGGCCCTGAGGTCCCGAGATGGTCACCGTGTCCTCAGAGTTGTGGCAGGCAGGCACCATGCCCGGGGGGTGGTAGGGGGTGGTGGGCAGCGCCGCTTACACTCCTCCCAGGGCAAGCCCACAGCTGCCATGGCGCCTGGTGGGATGTTGGCTTCTTTGATGCACTGCCCTCTCCAGTAGGCAGAGAGGCCAGCCTCCTCCTGGGACAGGCAGCCGTTGGCATAGCCACAGGCCACTTTCCCCAGGGAGTGGTCGATGATGCCATCCGGCCTCAGCCCCATGCAACTCTGCAAGGCCTATGAGGCCTATCTAGATGGCTGTCAGGCTCACAAAGGCATAGACGATGTCGTCAAAGTTGCTCTCGTCCGTGATCTAGTAACACTCCCAGATTGTGAAACCTCCTTCGTAAACACCTGTAATCAGATCAGAATGAGAAAAAAAGCTTTTTGAAACTATTTTTTCTCCAGGGAAGTTCTCTTTCAACAAGATGGTTTTCACTACCGGCAAGTTAGCATGCTGGAGACCTGGTAATGTTTCTATGACTTTATTTTCTTTTTTTTTTTTTTTTTTTTTTTTTTTTTTTTTTTTTTTTTTTTTTTGAGATGGAGTTTCACTCTTGTTACCCAGGCTGGAGTGCAATGGCGCGATCTCGGCTCACTGCAACCTCCGCCTCCCGGGTTCAGGCAATTCTCCTGCCTCAGCCTCCTGAGTACCTGGGATTACAGGCACACACCACCATGCCCAGCTAATTTTTTTTGTATTTTTAGTAGAGACGGGGTTTCACCGTGTTGACCAGGATGGTCTCGATCTCTTGACCTCGTGATCCGCCCACCTCGGCCTCCCAAAGTGCTGGGATTACAGGCGTGAGCCACCGCGCCCGGCTATGACTTTATTTTCTAACATCTTCTTTAAATCTTTAGGCATAGCATGTTCTTTGGCAGCTCTCAAGCAGGGCTGTTTTTCATGTGGCTCCAAGTTACTTCAACCATTTGTTGCACTGAGTGGGCTGTCTGTGTCTTGAGAGGGAGCTGCATTTTCCATTGACTTATGTTCCCACAAGTGATCCTGAGGCACGCCAAACTGTTCTGCAGAACATTTTCTGTCCCTCTATTCTCCTTTTTGACTTTCAGAGACTAACAGCTCTTTTGAGAAATCCAGGGTCAAAGCTCCATCTCCAAGGGTTGTTAATTCATTTTCCAGATGGTTTTCTATAGTGAAATTAAACTGAAAGGTCATCCTCTTATTAAATGCACGCAATCATTAAATTCAAATTCTTCAACTTCTGGATAGAATTTGATGTTGATGACACACACAAACCTGCCTCAATTATTCAATAAGTTTTGTTGGGCCCAGTTTCTCTTTAGCAGCTTATATGCGGTAACAGCTATTTGGGTGATGGGTTCACCAGAAGTCCAAATCTCATCATTATGCAATATCCTTCAACACCTGCATATGTACCCCAGAATCTAGAAGAAAAGATAAATAAAGATAAGGCATTGACTTTTAGTGCAAGAACATGGTTTCTCACTCTACTCATTAAAATATCATTTAATCTTCCTATAATCTACAGTTTTAGTGAAGATGAAAATGTCTGTTATCATCTGTGTTGAATATACTTCTAAATATGCCATCTTTAACAGTTTTATTTAGGTACAATTGACAGTTTAAAACTTCACATTTATTATACAATAATTCTTTGAATTATTGATGGGGTTATATCCCAGTAAACCCATCATAATTTTAAAATAGTAAGTTGAAAACGCATTTAAATCACCTAATTTACTGAACATGATATTTTATTTTATCATAGCCTGCCTTACGTCTGTCCAGAGCACTTAGCGTTAGCTTGTAACTGGGATACACTACAGTTGGGTGAACTTCTTAACAAATTTTGAAGTCCAAAATAATGTATTGCTAACTATGTTGTACAGCAGATTTCTAAAAGATTTTATTCATCTTGCATAGATTAAAATTTTACTCACTGAGTAAAATTTTGCTCCCCATTTTTTTCTCTTCCCAGATCCCACCATTCTATTCTCTGCTTCTAAAAGTTTTACTATTTAGATGGCTCATGTAAGAAGAATCATGCAGTATTAATTCTGCTGTTGCTGGCTTAATTCATTAAGCATAATCTCAGGATTTATTCATGTTGTCACAGATGGTAGAATTTTCTAATTTTTAAAGCGGAGTCGTTTTCCATTGTGTATACTTGCCATGTTTTTTTTTAATCTACTCTTTTATCTATGGACATACAGAATGTTTCCATATCTCGGCTATTTTTAACAATATGACAATGAACGTAAGAGTGGAAACATCTTTTCAAGATCCTGATTTCAATTATTTTGTATATTTTTTATATATACTCAAAAGTGGGATTGCTGGATCCATTAACAGTTGGTTTTGATTTTTTGAGGAATCTCCATGCCATTCTTTATAGTGGCATCACTATTTTTCATTCCCACCAACAGTGTACAAAGATTCCAATTTCTCCACATCATTGCTGACACTTCTGTGTATGTGTGTATGTTTTAATAATAGCTGCCATAATAGATGTGAGTTAATATCTCCTTGTGAATTTTATTTGAATTTCCCTCATGATTATTGATGTTAAGCATCTTTTCTTATATCTAGTGACCATTTATATGTCTTCTTTGAAGAAATGTCTATTGAGGTACTTTGCCCATTTTTGAAACTTTTATTTTCTGTTGAGCTGTAATCATTTCTTATACATATCGAATATTAATCACTTTTCAGATATATGATTTGCAAATATTTTTCTCTTGTTCTGTATGTTACTTGTTCATGGTTTTATCTTCTTTGCTATAAAGATATTTTTGTTTGTTTGTTTTATGTAGTCCCACTTATTTATTTTTGCTTTTGTTGCCTGTGCGTTGTGTATGATAGATAAAAACAAAATTGCCAAGACCAATGTCAAGAAGGTTTTTCCATTTGTTTTTTTCTAGAAGTTTTACAGTTTAGGACTTACATTTAAGTCTTTAATCCACAACTAGTTGTGAAAACACAACTAGCTGTATGTTTATTTATATTGTCTAACTTCAGTGAATTTTATATTAGTACTAAAAAGTTTTTGATGTAGTCTTCAAGTTTTTCTACATAGAAGATTATATCATCTGCACACAAAAATTTCATGTCCTCTGTTCCAAGTAGACAGCTTTTCCTTATTTACTTTTTGGCTAATTGCTCTGGCAGGACTTCCAGTACTACATTGAAGAGAATTAGTGAGAGTGGACATCCTTGTCTCATTTCTGAACTCAGAAAAATAGCTTTCAGCTTGTCACCATTCAGTATGATGTTAACTTGGAACTTGTCATCTTCGACATGTATTATATTGAGGTACATTGTTTCTACACCTTGTAGAAAATCCATGAGCACCACATCACCTGTGGGTACCCCGAGTTCGGTGATGAGAAAGGAATGAGAGAAAGAAAGATTAAGAGAAAAAGTGGGACCAGGGGGCCGTTTTTTTATTACTCTGGAGGAGACAGTGAAGGCCCTGAGCTCTGATCATCCACACTATTTATTGATTACAGTCACTTTGATCTGTAGGGTAGGGGTGGAGTGATGGTGGAGTGAGTCAAGTGAACCGGAAGTGAATCAGTGAGCCGGAAGTGAATCAGTGAGCTAGCACTGGTGTGTCATCCTAAGGATTAATAAGAGTAGCGGTGAGCTGAGATCACGCCATTGCACTCCAGCCTGGGTAACAAGAGCGAAACTCCATCTCAAAAAAAAAGAGTGGCAGTTTGGGAGTTTCACACAACAAGAACATGTGGTTATCTTTAGCTTATTATCTATGTACAGTTGGTGGAACATGGGCTGTACAAGGAGGCTACAAGTCTGGCTACATCATAGTGCTACGAAGGGGTTTTACGTCCTTGAGCACAATGTTTATAGTAGCAGAGCCTAAATCACCCTGCACTGGAACATGAGGCATGGAGAGGCCTTCCTCCTCAGAGGCCTCCTGTGGCCTTCCACAGATTATTATTGTTCCTTGTTTATATGTTACTCATAACCAATTTATGTAGGCACTCTAAGTCCTTTCTCCTTTGCTGTTTTTCCCAACAATACCTAATTTGTTGAGATTTTTACTGTGAACATGTTGAGTTTTGTGAAATGCCTTTTCTGAACTTATTGAGATGATGGGATGGTTTTTATTTTACATTCCATTAATGTAGTGTATCACATTTATTGATTTGCATATTTTGAAATCTTTGCATTCCAGGATGAATCTCACATGGTCATGGTGAATGATCCTTTTAATATGCTTTGAATTCAGTTTGCTAGTGTCTCTTAAGGATGTTTGTTTCTGAGCTCATAATGATTATTGGTTGATAATTTGTTGCTTGTAGTGTCTTTATCAGGCTTTGGTATCAATGTAAGGCCACAAAAAATGAGTTTGGTAGTATTACCGCCTCTTCAATTTTTTGGAAGCTCTTGTGAAGGGTAGCCACCAATTATTCTTTAAATGTTTGGTAGAATTCACCAGTGAAACCAGTCAAGTCCTGGAATTTTTTTTCTTTTTCTTTTTTTTTTTTTTTTTTTTTTTTTTTTTAGGATGCATTTGGTTAATGATGGAATTGTCTTACTGTTATTGGTCTGATCAGATATTCTATTTCTTCATGATTAAGTCCTGGTAAGTTGTATGTTTCTTTAAATCTATTACTATACTTTATAAAATTTGTTGTCATATAAATGATATTAGTAGACTAATGTTTATTTCTATGGCAAATGTTCTTTATTCCTTTATATTTATTTTGTTTTATCTTGGTTTTATTTTGTTCCCAGGGAGACGCCCAGATCATAGATTTTAAATCCGTCTTCTTTTAAATGTAAGCATTTTAATCTTATAATTACCTTAGGAGTATATTTTAGCTTCATATTACAAATTGTTATGTTTGGTGTGTTTTTTTAATCTAGAACATTTACAAATTAATATAGAGACTTATTATTTGTCCTATGGAAAATTTAAATATGTTACCTACTTTCAAAATAATTTGGACTATCTTGCTGATGTGCATTTCTTCCTTATTGTTGCTTTGGTCAGAGAACATATTCTGTATGATTGAAATTTACTGAGGCTTATTTCCATAACGATAACCTATTTTGACAATTGTTTTATGTGCTCTTGAAAAAAAAAAAGTGTACCCTCTTTCTGTTGTTGGGAGTGTTCTCCACATTTCAATTATGTCAAGTTGATTGATATTTTGATCTAAGTCTTTTATATTTTTATGGATTTTAATCAACTTTATTAAAATATAATCTGTATACACTTATATCTACACATTTTAAATATAAAGATATATTATTTTAATAAATATATACAGCCATGAAATTACAGTTACAATCAAGATATAGCACATTTCTAGAACCTCAAAAACTTTCCTCATGTTTCCTTCAGTGAATCCAAATCTACCTCACTCCCAGACCTCATGAAACCAACTGATCTAATTTCTGTCACTAAAGGTTAGTATTTTTCTCTTTTCTACAATTTCTCATACATGTGTAACTTTCTATCAGACTCATTTTAAGATTAATCTGTACTGTGTTTCTGTATTAGTTGCTTCTTTTTACCATTGAGTATTCTATTGTTTAAATAATATAATGTGTTAATCCATTTACCTGTTGATAGGCACTTGGATTGTTTCTAGTTTGGGGCTATTTTGCATAAAAGCTGCTAAAAGCATTTGTGAATTAGTCTTTTTTCTGAAAAAAAGGCTTTTATTTTTCTTGGGTAAATACATTGAAGTGAAATTGCTGGGTTCATGCTGGGTTCATATGACTTACAATTGTAGAAAATTTCAGCTAGTTTTTAAAGTGCTCCAATAATCAGTACTGTCTTAGAAAAAATAAATTCTATGTATGTGCTCTTCAATAAATAGCCACTGCCCTCCTGTGGGTACTTAATTTTAATTTTTAATTTAATTTTAATTTTTAATTAACTAAAATAAATTTAAAATTATGTTTCTTTATCTAACTAGTAACATTTTAGTGTTCAGTAGCCACATGATTCTAGTTG